GAACCCAGACACCGGGTGCTTGCAGGTCACCTTTCGCTCATTGTGGCTGCAGAGAGAGAAAAAGCAAAGACAGGAAAACAAAGTGTGAGTGAATTCATAGAAAATGATTTCAAACCTTCAGACCGAGGGGTGACCTGTCCACGGGTGCCCTGACCTGATCACAGCAAGGAGAGGCTTTAGATCTAATGTGGACTTAAAGACACGCAGTCACAAATCAAACTTCAGCGTTTTATTGATGCATCACGAGAAAAGGAAAACAGTTCTCTGCAGACATGCAGAGCACCACACTTATTTACACATCTGGAACAGTGTGTGATGCTAAACATCAGCACGATGTCTCGATGTCACGTAGATCCCAAAGGTTCTCAGTGGGAGAACCGTTCCATCATCATCATCATCATCAGGTGACTTCTTCAGTCTCAGCTGACTGCAGGTGTCCAACATTATAAACAGGACATTTGCACAATGCTACCTTCTTTGATCAAATGCAAATTGTCATGACTATTAAACAACAACCACTGATCAGAGCTGTATTAGAAAATGAGATGATATCATCCTGTCGCTGCTGCAGTTATGTTGACCTTGCAACAACCAGTTATTTAAGAGAAGTTACTTTAACGTCTTAGTTGTAATTTCTGAGTTAAGACATTAAAAGTTTCTTCATGGCAAAGTTATTTTATCCATTTATTTAAGTGCTTAAACTCTAGAGACCAATAAAGTTTTCTGATTCTGATAAGATCCATTTCTTCTGGAAGCATCATCAGGTTAAAGTGAACCAGAACTTCGTTCAGACCCTTCAGTTAGTGAAGAATCTAAAATACTCGTAGTTTACTTGCAGAGAGTTGATGTTTGCTGCAGCTTGGTGTCGCTGCCAGCTACCAGCGTGGAGTCCTGCTGTGGAGTTTCATCACTTAGCTGACAGGTCTGGTCAGCACCACAGAAGATACGCAAGCACAAACACAGTGTGTTCATGTACAGAGGACATCTTACTAACATGGTTAGAACTCGCCTCTTTGGACTGTGGGCACTACAGTGGACAGTGCAGCAGCTGGAGAGCGTCGTGGTAATACTATACACATGCTAACCAAGCCTACCTCGGACATCAGCGAGAGACAAAAACGAAGCCGTCAGGTGTCGAGGAAACAGGACACACTGATGAGAAGGCTGCTGGAACAAAACTGCATCAGTGGGCGAGAGAAACAGGGCGCTGCTGCTACGACGCAGGTCAGCCAGGGGAAGGGGTTACGTGGACACCCAGGATCCAGACTGATGGTGAAACAGCTAGTGGTGCAGTGTTTCAACACAGGAAGGAGGAACTGCTCTCACGGCGAGAGACTGGCGAGGTTCAACACGAATGCTACGGAGCCAGGATGATCTCTATGTGCTGTGAAGTACCGTCTCTGCTGAAGTTATTTTATTAGAAATTAATGAAGTTCATTCATTTCACTGTATGCATCAGATTTCATTTTGTTTATGTGCTGAATCACAACAACACTTGTCTCCAAGCGATTTATACTGTAAGGTAAAAAACCTACAATAATAACAACAACAGGGAACAAATCTCCTCACCAGCGTTATTTTCCTGCTGCCTTACAACTCTGGTGTAAACCCCACTGAGTCACAGTCACTGCGGACAAGCACAGCTGCACCACGCTGTGAGCTAACAGCGCTAACCACCGCACCATTGTGCTGGCCCCATGATGTGTATTTATTATCTCTTATTGTTCTGATCTTCAACGTCATGCTGCTCTGTTGTTTGTTAATAAAGTCTTTCTGATTCTGATTGTTCTCTCGTCTGACCTTTGACCTTTGACTGAAACAACAACAAACAGACAAACCTTCAAGATCTGCTGTCACTGAGTATGTCCCAATTCACAGGCCAAATATGTGCAGTTTCATTGTACTGGGCTGTAGTTTGGTGGACAACAGGTGAAAGTCACTTGGAAACAGATTTACAGTTTACATGTTGTTGGAAACACTCTTAATAAAGGAAAGAAACAAGTCAACAAAATGCAGCTAATCCCCGCCCAGGACCGCCATCAAATCAGCCGTCATTGGTGAGCTGTGAAGTCAGTCGCCGTTGAACTTCACCAAATCAAACAAACAAACACACAACTGAAGATGCGTCTGACAAGAAAGGCAACAAGTACAACAGCGAGTGGGAAAAGCACTTTCCATTCACGGTGAGAGGCACAACTGTTATTTTGTCTGTACCGATCA